ATATTTTTTGAACATTCTGGGATATTCATAGAATATCAAATGCTATCTGGGCAATCAGCTAAAGAACAGCTGGAAAAGTCCAACTGGCTCGTTAAAACTGTTAATAAATTGCAGGCTTTGGGTGATATCGCTTCCATCCTTGGTCGCCAGGTGTCCCGACCATTGCTGGAAAGATCCTTCTACCGGAAAATGCAATCCAGGAAGGTTTTCGCACATAGAGAGAGTTACGAGACTATTATTGCAAAGACGGAGGAAAAACTAGCCAAGGTAGACGCTGAAAACCCCAAAAAAATCGTATGCTTCTTTCAAACATAAACAGCTTAATTCAAAGGAAAATTCAAGAAGAAGCAGCCAAAATGGAGTGAAACAGTATGAAGACAATCCGGCGGTGAAAACAGAGCAAAGTGTCTCATTTTGCTCTGTCACGCTCTGTTTCGTTTTATTTTGCGGCCATTTAGGTTTCAGCGGATTCAGTTTTTTCGCTTTCAGCTGGTCGCACTCATTTCCAGAAGTTTCTCGGTTTAATAAGAAAACGTGTGGCCATTTCAGTGGCTTTAGGATAATAAAGACAAATGTTTCTTTCATGCTTTGCGCGTTTAATTAAAGAAACTAATTCAAAAACATACACAAAGCGATGGGAGTAACAAATTGTTTAGCTATGGGAGCGCAACAGGCACGTAACCAATAGATTGTTGCACGATTGGAACAAGAATGTTGAAAATCTGGCTGTTTTTAGGCTGGTAGACTCACAGCGCAATTTGCCCTTTTGCAGACAAGACAAGAATACAAGAATGCTTACGTTTCCTACTTGGCTAGTCCGACGACTGAAAGTCTGAGTGCATATTTCAATTCCCATAATGCGTACATTCAACAGCTGCATGCCACCAATGGAATGATGGAGGAGTTTGGAAACGCCACTCTGCCATCACTGTTGCAGGTACGTTAATTGCGATTTTTTGGGAAATTCACGCTTCTATTTTCCTCCAGTTGAGTGTGGATGATTTAATGGCAAATTACACTGTGAGCTGTGATGAGCGCTAAGAGCAACGACCCTCCAACAGCGCTAAATTCACTCAAATTTAATGTAGCGTTTATGTGAAAGCTTGAATGCACGCGAAGCACTCGGTCAATCAAACAGCATTTTCCGAATGTTTCCTTAAGGCAAACCATAGAATTTTTGCTTTTGAACCGATAGTTAACCAGCCGATTTTTCATTTGCTACCGTAACAATTAGATAACTGAAACTAATGGGTTTTTCGGTAAAATTTCTTCCTGACGTTTCGCAAGCACGAGTGGCTTGCATCTTCAGAAGTGGTTTGCTTGAACGCTTACACTGTTCCGATGCGATTCCTCGGGCG